TAAGATTCCTCCGTCTGTTTTCATGGCTTGATAGTTCATTTCTTTTTAGTGCCGAATATTACTCCACCGTCTGGATGTACTATAGTTTATCTACCCATTCACCTTCTCAAGGACATCTTGGTTGCTCCCAAGTTTTGGCAACTATGAATAAATCTGCTATAAACATCTTTGTGCAAGTTTTATGTGGATATGGGTTTCTGACACCTTTGGGTAAATACTGTCCAACGGTCTTGCAAAGTGTCTGAACCATTTTGCATTCCCACCAGCAGTGAATGAGAATTCCTTTTGCTCCAGATTCTCACCAGCATTTGGTGGTTTCCGTGTTTTGGATTTTGACTTGTCTAATGGGTGTGTAGTGTGGTATCTCACTGTTGTCTTAATTTCACGTTTCCCTGGTGGCGCATGATGTGAAGCATCTTTTCATATTTTGTGTGTGTGTGTGTGTGGTTTTTATTTTATTTTTCATCTATAGATCTGCTTTAGTGAGGCAGCTGTTAAGATGTTTGGCCCATTTTAAAATTGGGTTGTTTTATCAATGCTGAGTATTAAGAGTTCTTCGTATATTTTAGAAAACAGTATTTTACCAGATATGCCTTTGAAAATATTTTCTCAGTCTGTGTCTTGTCTTCTTGACACTGTCTTTTACAAAGCATAGTTTTTATTTTTATTTATTTATTTTTGAGACAGAGGCTCACTCTGTTGCCCAGGCTGGAATGCAGTCGTGAAATCTCGGCTTACTGCAACCTCTGCCTCCTAGGTTCAAGTGACTCCCCTGCCTCAGCCTTCTGAGTAGCTGGGATTACAGATGCGTACCACTACACCCAACTAATTTTTGTATTTTTAGTAGAGACAGGGCTTTGCCATGTTGGTCAGGCTGGTCTTGAACTCCTGACCTCAGGTGATCCGCCTGATTCAGCCTCCCAAAGTGCTGGGAGTACAGGCATGAGCCACTGCACCCACCCTACAGGTTTTTAATTTTAAGGAAGTCCTGCTTATCAATTATTTCTTTTAAACACAGTTCCTTCGGTGTTTTAATTAAAAAGTCTTTGCTAAACCCAAGTTCTCTAGGTTTTCTCCTATGTTATCATCTAGGAGTTTTACAGTTTTGCATTTTACATTTAGGTCTATGATCCACTTTAAGTTATTTTTTTGTGAAGGATGTAAGATCTGTGTCTAGATTCATTTTGTTGGCATGGGGCTGTCCAGCTGTCCAGCACCATTTGCTGAAAAGGCTGTCTTTGCTCCATTGTGGTGCCTTTGCTCCTTTGCCAAAGTTCAGTTGGGCCTCTCATTCCTCAGTAAGATGAAGATAGTAAGTAATATAGGAATAACAGCTATCTCATATTGTCGTGAGCAATACATGTAAATGGAAAGCTTATTGAAGCATAAACAATAGACGGTGGCCTGTATGACAGAAAATAATACCAGGCTGGATATGTGGTTCACACCTGTAATCCCAGCACCTTGTGAAGCCAAGGCAGGTGGATCACCTGAGGCCAGGAGTTCAAAACCAGCCTGGCCAACATGGTGAAACTCCATCTCTACTAAAAATACAAAACTTAGCCAGGCATGGTGGCTTGCACCTGTAGTCCCAGCTACCCAGGAGGCTGAGGCAGGAGAATCACTTGAACCCGGGAGGTGGAGGTTGCAGTGAGCTGATATCGTGCCACTGCACTCCAGCCTGAGCGACAGAGTGAGACTCTGTCTCAAAAAACAAAACAAAATAAATGAGCTGGGTGTGGTGGTGGGCACCTGTAATCCCAGCTACTTGGCAGGCTGAGGCAGGAGAATAGTTGAAACCCGGGAGGTGGAGGCTGCAGTGAGCCAGGATCACACCACTGCACTCCAGCCTGGGCAACACAGCAATACTCTGTCTCAAAAAACAAACAGCAAAAAAGGACAGGTAGCATATATATAGGATTAATTTATCAGGGCTGTGCAGGATATCACAAATTGTCCATTGTTGCCCAAATTTCTGTTGTTTTGCTTATCACTTTCATAATTTTTGTCCTGATAGAATGCAACTTGTCTCATTCTGTCACCCAGGCTGGAGTGCAGTGACGCGGCCTCAGCTAACTACAACCTCCGCCTCTCAGGTTCAAGTGATTCTCCTGCCTTAGCCTCCTGCCTCAGCCTCCCGCCTCAGCCTCCCGCCTAGCTGGAACTACAGGCGTGTGCCCAAACCCCCGGCTAATTTTTTGTATTTTTAGTACAGGGTTTCACTGTGTTAGCCAGGATAGTCTCAAACTCCTGACCTCATGATCCACCCGCCTCAGCCTCCCAAAGTGCTGGGATTACAGGCGTGAGCCACTGCACCCGGCCACTTGCACTATTATTTACTTAATAACTTCAAAAATATATTTAGATGTTTACAAAATATTCTCTATTCATCTTAATAATATCTCTACACTAAA